TAAATGCATCGCACTCAGAATCGACATTAAAATTCGATGAGAACTGGTTCTTAATTTACCTCCCAATTTGTCTGCGAATATCTTACAAAGTGTATGGCATTTTGCTTATCCTTGTTAATTAAAATTATTAATTCAGGATTGACTCTCAATAAATCTGTTTGTTTATTGTAGCGAATAATATATGGGACAGTTTATATTAAATTAAAGTATTTTACTTTTATTATATTTATATTTAGCTTTTTCATCTTCACGTTTTCCATTATTTTTCAAAAGAATTGTAATTTAGTTTATTTGTAATATAAAAGTTATTTGAAGAAAAAACGATTTACAAGATTATAGGGGATGACGAGGTCAATTCTATCTAAACAGCATTCAAGATTTTTATCGTTTTGTTATGTTATGTGATTGTAAAGTAAAGTAACACAGCCTTTACATATCCCACTGCTAGGCAAAGGCCTCCTCTTTACAAAGGGTAGCAGGGCATTGTCCACCACACGGCCCCACGGCGGATTGGCGGACTTCACATGTCTTCGAAATATTTTTGGAACGAAGTTCCTTATCGCGCGTTGTGAAAGGGGGCTAGACGGAAAAAAATTTCACGAAAAGTTGTAACGACACTTTTTGCTATAGTAAGCTATTGTAAGCTGTGCGGCGTGCGCATGTTTCTCTGTCTGTCTCTCTCTCTCTCTTATAGAAAGCAAACCAGATATTTTCATTTCTATTACGCATTGAACAGTGTGGTGTCGCGACGATTATTAAAATAAAATTTTATTACAATTCCTTCACTAATTAATCGAAAGGAAATTCGTTCCATCCGGGTGTCCCTTGACACCTCTCAATGTTTTTATTATTATTTCGAAATTATGCAGGTTATCTTATGTGATTTTATGATATGTTATTTAAATTTTATTCCAAAGAAATATTGCCTTTTTTGAGCTAATCCGACTGGCCTAGTAGCTCCATATAATAACTGCCACAGATATCTTTTGACATTGCTCGATGAATCGGTGTCGCAGTTGCTAAGGCATTAGATAGCCAATTGCGCCCCATAGATAATTGTTCTGGATCTGATTCCCTGGAAAGATTGACCTAAGGCAAGCGGCCGTTCGTAAAAAACCTAGCCAAACCTATAAACACAATGAAATGAGATTGGACTAGGAGAAAGAAGACGTTATCTTAGATAGAGACATTGGTTCGGTCTTGAAGTGAGTATATAAACTACTAGCGACTTCGCCTTGAACCACTCTATCTAGTAAAAAAACTGCATTAAGATCCGTTGCGCAGTTTTAAAGATCTAAGCATACATAAAGACAGAAAGACAGCGGGACGACTTTGTTTTATACTATGTTGTGATTAAAATGATGAGATTATTTTGACGATGAGTTCATCATCATCATCATTTCAGCCTGTTTGAGTCCACGAGTGAGTATTGAACATAGGCCCTCTCGCAAACTGCCACGAAGCACGATCCTGAGCCACCTGCATCCATTGACTTCCCGCACATTTGCACTTCTTAGATGATGACTTGTTTTCCCTTTATTTAATTATTAAGTATAATTAAATAAAGGGAAATAACCAGAGTAATCTGTCTAAGATCTGGCTGCAGAATTACCAGACTCAACGAGTATATGCTAACATCGAATATATATAATATTTTAGGCGTATTATTGATTAGAAGAATATGTATTTACCGGTTTGCCTATCAAAATGTGGCCGCTGATATTTTTAATTAAATTATTGTTAATTGATCTCTGAGAAAAAATTTCATTAAATCTTTTTTGAATAAAATATGGACACTTCACGGCAATATACATAAAGACTGAAAAATCACGGTTGCCGTTGCGCCCATGGCCATACCCTTTCGAGCAAGGTGTAAAGAGGTATGGTTCTGATACGTTTTTACGTTAATAACGTACATTTACCATTAAGTTATCAAATTAAAGCTATTTTTTTTTCTGTTTATTATGATATACGGTTGCCTAATTAAATCGGGCCGCAAATAAGGGTTGCTGGCTGTTAAACATCGTAAATATTTAAGGTTTAATTTTATATATAAATAATAAATGTACGTTATGAACGTAAAAACGTATTAGAATCATACCTGGCTGCGAAGAGGTGCGGCCAAGTGCGCAACGGCAATCGTGATTTTGTATATTGTGGTGTATTTGTATATTGGTAAGTGTCCATATTTTATTAAAAAAACAAGTGAATGAAATTTTTAGCCAAAAATCATTGAAAAATAATTTAATAAAAAAAATTAGCAGCCACATTTTGATAGGCAACCCGATAAATATATATTCTTCGAATCATAAATATGCGTAAAAAGTTTTATTTTAGCATATACTCGATGACTGTAGTAATTCTGCAGCCGGATCTTGTACTGTAATCGCTATTTGAAAAAGATCTGGGCTTGTAATAGGTTTGTCTTCTTCTACTCTTCGCCTCTATGAAGAAGAGTTCATAAGATTCACATGATAGTTAGAGATTGAATTTCTATTTATTCAGACGATAACACTGAAAACTTTCTAAGCTACTACTAATATTTGTATGCCATGTATGAAATAACCCCCTCTAAGTGGGGACTAACCAATGTATTTTTTATGGACCACTCCCATTAATATTGTAAGGACTGTTGTTATTATTTTATCGTTCTAAATTATAGGAATAATTAATTTTAATAGGAAGAATAAAACATAATGAACGCTTTCTCTAATGTATTAGGATTTACAATGACCAGAAAAAAAAAATAAGTTTAATTATTTAATGTATTCAATTTGTACTATAAATAAATTGATTCAAATAGACACACCGAGCCCTGGATAGTTACGATTGTTGATATGACTATCAGGCCCCGCAAATCTAACGGCTATAAAAAGCACTTAACCCATATTGACCATTATCTTCTGCATTGATATCGCTCACGTTATCTATGTTCGGTGACAGCGTTTGTTCCTGCCTGTTTGCAGACAACTTCAGTGCGTCTGGGCAAATGTTTTCGTAGCCAAGTCTGCCAAATAATGAGGTCGCAACGACCCGCCCCCATTCGTGCGTGCCGAATAAATGGAACATGTCTCGATCGTTTGCGGTATTATCAATTGGGACGTGTCAATGCACCTTGACGCTCAATACTGGGTACTACAACAATGGGTGTAGCCTCACTGTAAACCAACTTTGTGGTGAAACTAAACACTTTTGCTTACTCGTTCGATGACGTTAATATTCTTTTTCATGAAAGTAACATTTTACGGTATTTTAATTATCTTCACAGGAGCCTAAGATTTAACTGTAATTTTGTTATGACAATTTTTACACGTATTATTTTTCTAGAGATTTGTAAGTTATCATTTGTACGTTAAAAGAGTCGCGACAAGCGACTTACCATTAAAAAATAACAAAAGGTAAGTCGATTTATACAAAACAAAATATATTTTTTTGGGTGAAGCAAGCTGCAAGCTGACGGATCCGCTGAAGTTAAGTGATGACCGCCACACATGGACATTTGCAGATGCGTGACCGCCTTTCATTAAAGTGGGCCCGGGCTACCTCACCTCACGGCTTACCACTTAACGCAGAGGTTCCACTTCCACTTCACGCCGGTCTTTTGTGAGGTACTTCATCTGACGGACCTGTCCATTAGTGCAACAGCGAACGGCTGCGTGGCCCTACCACAAATAATTTTTTTACGACTCCGTACATTCGTTTTTAAAAATAATGGTTACATGCGAATTATAATATATTCGTCGTAGCTATATTGTAGAGCTTAAATTTTACTGCGGAACGTATATTTATAAAATATAATTATATTTTAATTTAATTATTGTAAAAGATGTGCAATTAATCAAATACCTATAACATTTTAATACGTTATATATATGGTACCTAAGTATTTATTATATCATACTAGAGATGAAATTCTTTCAAAGTTATATCAAAGAACTCCGAATTCATATTTATTTGCATATTCGCATTTCACAAAGCTGACAATCAAATCACTGTTACGGAATCGCTTAATTTCACATTATTGGTACATCATAGAAACACGGAAGAAACTTCTACTTATTTATTCGCATAATACAGACAATAAACATTCATTAATCTATTAACGAATTCAAGGACGTAAAAGTATCACATCGAAAACTGACCGTAGGTATATATGTAAAACTGTGACTGATCATTCTTGTGGAGATTAAATGGGAACTTAAAAATAATAAAAAATATTATGGTATCATTGTGCCGTTCCTCAAAGTAGGGGAAATTTCAGAAATAGATTCTTGTGATCACTACTAATCTTTACCAGATTCAGTGGGTCTGCTAATCACTACAAATTAAATCAAGAAACACCTATTTCATATTCGATCCTGAATTTCGGATGGGCAATTGAACAATATCGCTGCCACGGCCAACGGTTCCGTTGCAGACTTAGTTCATTGCGTGCTCACGCGCCCACCTGCGTGCGATTCTGCGAACGGTGCGTTTGCGGCCCTGCAGACAGGTAAACACGTAACGCAGACGCCCGCCGCTGAGTCACGCGGCCGCCGTCTGCAATTGTTTGCCGCGGGCCCGTGCTGCATACCTACGTATAGCGAGGCGAGACGTGAACTAGGCCCGCGCCCTCGCGCCGACCTTGTCTCGACACGGATTTATACGTGCGTCACCGCGGACCGTACCGCGACGCGCTGCCGAGTCGACGGGCGAGTTTCGTTCGGAAACGACGTGTTTGTTATAAATAAATTTCGAACGCAACGCTTATAGGGAAACACAAAAATTGTATTGATGAGGAAACGGTCATTATACCTAATAATTGATTTAATTTGAATTTGGGAAGTTTTGTTTTTCCTTCTTTGATAAACTGCAATTTTTTTAAGTACCGTCCATATTTTCATGAATAGGCATATTCTATCACACTCTTTAGCTAGTATATGTGCTCGAGAAATGAGACGGAAAAGAATCAATGTTTGATGCGTAAATCTTGAAAGCTAAGGAATTTAATAACACGCCTAAGTGTTACGACACATGGTAGCTACCAGACGTCTAGACAGACCGTCGCGTCGGCCTGAAGGTTCTTCAGGAAGGCCGCCGAAATAGCGCCCCCCCCCCCCCTCCTCGGCCTGACCCCTTACCTCCGCCGTGTGGCGCGACCCCGGCCCGAATTGGTGCACGCCCTTCTAGGATTACGCAAAACGTAGACTCCTTTAACAGGCATCGGATACACGCGCACCGTTACGAAATTGCATTCGCAAAGTGTGTGACAAAACAAACCGGAAAGTGAGTGAAGTAACGTCTACTACGTTATTATGTCACGACTTTATTGTACAACACATTTTTGAAGATTCGTCATTACATTTACAACTTTTTAATGTGCGAATTATACGTTATTAATAATAAGTATAATTATTAATTAATGAATTAATTAATAATAATACGTATTTACTATAAATATTATACATTATATAGAAAGGGAATTCATAGGATATATAACATTTTTTTCTTGAATCTTTTCTTGATTGCTTTCTAAGAATCCGTGAAGTAATTTCCCACGATGTCGATGGAAAGTAAAACGAATTATTATTATTAACATACACGTTTCTCGAACAGAATCTAGCTCGACTTTAAATAAAAGTCAAGGTAAATGATAACATCATATCCAAGCTAGGTCATCCAGGTATTTCCCAAAATAATCTTTATTAGTTGACCATTACATATGTCAAAAAGCTATTTATCAATATTTCCAGTCTCTGAATGACTGTAATGTTACATACAGTTTTTGTACTCACCGTCTTCTTGGCTGAGTAAAACGTTTATTATTAATAAACGTTTTACTTTATTATTATAAACGTTTGATTATTATTAATAAACGTTTTACTCAGCCGCGCCAATGACTTACTTGTTTTATAGTATCATAGTATCGTAATGTCTTATATACTTCGACCTTGTTTGCATTTGACATTTACTAAGTGAAAATCTAAATAGGAAAATAATAAAAGTCCATTTTAGACAACAACAATTGCTGTTCTTCAATAAAAACATATATTGAAATTGGCGAGTGTGTTTTCATGTGGTTATATCAGCCGCATCGAAGGTTCCAAGTTCAAGTCGTAAAGTGTAAATTCACGATATAGGTACATGTTAGACATGAAAATATTTAAAAATAATAATATGGTCATAAAGTTTGAAAATTTGTTGTGTTTGCATATACAAATGATATACATGAAACGTCTCAGCGACACATCAATCTGAATGCTGAAATTTTTCATTGAGGTTCTTTTTATTAGACAAGAATGTAAAGTTCATTTGGTAAAGCTTTACTACTGTAATGAAATATATTTGTAAAGCGAGGGAAAGTCAATGGATACAGGCGACTCAGGGTCGTGCTTTGTGGCAGTCTGTGAGGAAGACCTATGTTCAGCAAGGGACTCAAACAGGCCGCAATGAATATTTTGAGCATATGTGAAGTCATATAGTCAGTATTTAATATTTTGTCCGTTTCCTTTTCCCTTACCTTTCCTTTTTTCATTATTTCAGTTATTGAAGCCTATTTTATTTCGTGTGCCTATGCATGTTATTACGTAAACTGTAATGTACAGCTTATTTGGCACTGTACTCGTAGTTTATCTGCTAAAGATGCCTTCACGATACAAATTCGATCAGTTCGATTCCCATCATTAAACTTTACTATATTCTCGTAAAATATAATTCTTAACACTACTTCACAGTTGCGTATTATTATTAGGTTTATGTCAATACTGTTATAGCATTAATACCATGTATTTTAATTTAACAGAAGACGCAGCGTATAAAGATACAATCAAAACAAAAAAAAAAAGAATATGATCGTAACATACGAAATTGCATATAATTTTGTTTCGTTTCAAGCGCAAATTACGAACGAGTGCATTGCACGATGTCGGCACTAACTTGGGATTATGGGCACGTCAGACGTCAATGTAAGATCAGAGATCATTCGAGAAGAGTGAATTTACGTATGGAATATACGCGGTGCGGTTGCAGTGTGCAGGGGGAATGGAATGCATTCGATGCATCGGACAGAGTACAGTGTACTCAATGGCCTGACTACTCCACAATTCTGGACGTCGTCAATGGTTTACCAACCATGTCATTGCTTAAATTTACGCGAGTAACTTATATTATTAAATCCATTTATTGTTATCCGTGCACCACTATTCAAAGTTCTCAAAATAGAGTTAGCATTTGCTGTGTCGGGATAAGATTCATGTTTTAAAACTGGTGATAAGCCGAGTTTAGCATATCACCTCACATCGTCTCGTGAGCACGAATGCTGCAAAGTGTTCGAAAGCGCGGGAATTTAAATTTACGTCAAACGTGTTAAGACCCGTAGAAAAATAAAAATAACAAAGTAGATAATAAATAGTTAACTCGTTGACCAGTGCGTTTCGATGGATGAATAGGTTTAATACATTACCATTCGTCTATTCGGTGCAAATAATTATTTATAAATATGAGGTATACTCTTTTTGAAGAATAACAGTTATCAGACCGCTTCACACAAAAACAGCTTTAAGCAATAATATATAGAGATTAAATAACAATCTTTCAATTGTATTAAAAGTCTCTTTATAGTAAATACGATTGATAAATTGATGGATAATTTCTATGCCAGTCTTATAGACATTTGTCTATGAGACTGACATATCCACCAATTCTGTTGACTCAAATTGAAAGCTAGAGCTGTATAAAATTATGCCAGACATGATTAGCAAATCGTTTATCCCGATAACAAGTTAAGGAAAGTCAAGTCCCTAAGTTGTGAAATAAGTGTAAGTAAACATTGTTTGTGCACGTATTTTTGATTAGCGTTGGACATAATAAATGATTGGTGTCAGATATAGTCAGCGTAAATAAATTGTAGAGAAATGTTTTGTTGTGTCTATGATTCGATCCTGCGCCTTCATTCAGTCAAGCGTCCAGAAGGCGCAGTTTTGAATCTTGACAGCGGCTAAACTTTTTTCGATAATCCTTCTACACATCATAAGTTTCACCTCAGAGAAGCACAAAAATACAATTATATAATATATAGATAATAACTGTTTTTTTTATTATAATTGTTTTAAAGATATGTAATTTGTTTACTGCTACATAGACTCAAACATACAATGCCATTTGCTGAAAATCAACACTGATGATTATATTTACTCGTAATTAGTGATAACTCGACTTCTGGCTATTTAGATAATTAACAGTAGAAGAAAAACTATACACCTTTTAGGCACATTGCACGATCCGAACAATGTGAAATTTGGCTTGATCAAAGTTTTGTTCATAGCTAAAATTTTATGCATAGCACGTGCCGTTGATACGTCAACGTCAAATACATATTGTTGCGAAAGAATTTTAACATGTTAAATTGAATTAATGAGTTTCGGAAAATAATTAAAAACTACGTATTTGATAGTCATAAAATAAATATACTATAACTTTGCCAATAACGAACTGTTGCTGCCGACAGACTCCATAAAAAATGTCAAGGAAATCTAACGGCGGCCAAGTAAGTTGGAAGTCCTGTTTGGGCAGCGTCGCGTGAAAATGCGGTGAAAACGACCGGATGCCGGCTAAAACGCCAGTCGTGTCGCTTGTAAGACCGCGCCTTCGTTGACAAGAGCGCAAAATGGGATTCTCTTTCGTGATAACTAATGTAGCAGACGGAAAACGGCTTAATGCCTCTGATCGGCAGTGAAAAGCCACTTAACAAGAACTTTTGATGCCTTTTGATTTATACAGACTGATTAGTGCTCGAGTACTATCTCACCTGATGAACTTAGTAAATGCCAGGGCATACAGTTAAATGTTTGTGAAAATAAAATCCATACTTATAAAGGATTTGTGTTCAAGTTTATGTTGTTTTTGCTTTGTAAGTGTACTTGGCTGTAAACCTGGCTGACAGATTAGTCAGAAGAGGCAATGAGCTGCAGACTCAAGAGTAACAACCTAGCTGGTGCACGATGACACGATCTAAGAGCCCCTCAGGGTTTGAACCTTTATGTTTAATAATTGTGTATTTAAAAGTTTTTTAACATTTATTAATAGTAAATTTTGCATAATGTCCGGCTTACACTGGACAGGACACGGTTACCCACAAAGTTATTTCCCCTGTCGCTTAACTATCCCTTGTTACATATGTGGGCAACTCATTAGCACTCACAAGCAGCCAATAATTTAAGAACTAATTTTGTTTAGCGTCTTTGACTTACGTAATGATACCAGTTACTTACATTATCATAAAATATATAGCTGTATGGACGAACTTTGTTAGGATTAAAAACTAACTACATACTATACTATACTACTAAACCAATATTTAGTGACCCAACTTTTGATCATCTTTCAACTTTCAATCATTCATTGACAAATTAATTCGAAATTAATCAAATTAATAAATTAATTGAATTAATAAAGACGTGTCAATTTTTGTAGGATGTGTGAAATTTGGTAGGAATATTCCTTTTGCCGAATAGAGGTCAGTTAAGAACGGATTTTACGAAATGCAACAAAATGTTTGCCGGATCAGATAGTGTTTACGCAAAATTTTAAAAGTACATGTTTTGAACTCTACAAAGTCTACTGTAAAAATCTAAGTTTTAATTTTTTCTTATTCAAACAATCAAATTTAAATCAGCTGAACAACAGCACTACATAATCGGCATACAGGCACAGTTGGGATATAGACAAAGCATTGTGGTTATTGGGTTTGGCCGCGTAATCTGACCGTCTGACACCTTGATACGTCCTCTGAACAACTCGTGACTCACTTTTACGACCGTACGGCCGTTTCAATGGACAGCCGTTGACGATTGGAGTAAACTGTGTAATTCATTTAAATCATTCTCGTTTTACATGATTGATAATCAAAGTCGAATTATTTTGGTAGTTTATTATTATTATGATGATGATTAATTAAGAAGGGTTCGGTAGAGTCAGAGTATCTTAGCACCGTCCTGTGTGAAAAACCTATAAATTTTATGTGAAAAGTTGAGAAGCAAGCGGGGTGCTCGTGAAGTTAAGTTATTAGCGCCACATATGGACTTCTACAATACCTCAGGGATTGCAGGTGCGTTTGTAATCTTTGAAAAAAGTTTGCCACATTATAGCACTTCACGAACGAAATACGAAGGTGCAATACGTTTCATGCTGATCTTCTATGAAACCGTGGTAAATCACTAAGCCTGCAATAGCAAAAGCTGCTGCATGGTCCTATTACAGAAGAAAAACGAGAGTTAAGGGATCATTGATAATAGATTGGTTTTTTTATAAGTTATATGGAGCAGACATTGCTTGTAAATATAAAAATTCTAATTATATCTGAAATACGGACGGATACACTTTTTGTCAACATACTGATGGGATCGTATCCTGCTGGATTACTAGCCAAAATTCTTGGCTTCTTTCTGATATTAATTAATGGCTTCCCGAAGACCTTCGACGAATATGTGCTCCGGAGGAAACGGTTGAACAAACAGGGCCCGTTTTCTTGGAGATGGCTACTGTAGCATACTATAAGTAGAGAGAAGTAGAGGAAGGGAAGGCGGTCCTAGCCCAGCTGTGGAACGAAACAGGCTAATAAAGCCAAAATAGTCAATGAAGCCTAGTTACAGTCAAATAACAAAATCAGTTACCGCTAAATATAATTAAAGCAATATCGAAGTTACAACAAACTTACACTTTTTAATTTAAATTCAAAAATACTGTCAGTTCTTATTTCACCAAACTAGCGACCCGCCCCGGCTTCGCACGGGGGCAATGTATTATACATATAAACCTTCTTCTTAAATCGCTTTATTAGTAAAAAAAACCACATCAAGATCCGTTGCGTAGTTTTAAGTAGTAGTAGCGTAGTTGCGTAGTTTAAGTAAGATCTACGCATACATAGGGACAGACAGACAGAGAGACGGAGCGGGACGACTTTGTTTTATACTATGTAGTGATATCCTTACTAATCCTTAATAATATTATAAAGGCGAAAGTTTGTATGTATGGATGGATGTTTGTTATCTACTCTTTCACGAAAATACTACTGAATGGATTTTAATGAAACCTTACAATAATATAGCTTATACATCAGAATAAGACATAGGCTATAATTTATATACATATACTCGTATTTGTGTATATCTGTCTTTCTGTCTGAATGTTACCCCTTCAGCCTATTCTGCGCAGACGTAGTCGCAGGCAGCAGCTAGTACAATATAAATATGTAATAAGCACTGAAATTGTATTGTTTTTGTTAAACTATTGTATATTATCTCGTCAGAATATTGAATACGTGTTAAACGCTTATTCGCATCTCTGAGTGCAGCCGTATATCAGTACCATGATTCTGTGTCAGTAGTACCAATCAATTAAACAATTTATAGGTGTTATGGTATAGTTGAAATTTGAAAAAAATGCGGAATATTAAAACAAAATAAAGTTAATGTTGTGTCAGTTGACCATGTCTACGTTATTCTCCTTCTTCAACCATGTACCGTTATAAAAATCCTGCAACTACTATAATAGCAGTTGCCTTTTGTTTAGAATCCACACTGTTTGGGACTCAAAGATTTAATCATCTTTTTACAGGGTCTTTGTACCGTATACGATGAAAGATCAAACATTGACGGTGACCCAACGCCCTTGCTGCGACGTAGCAACCAACTCCATTTTCAACGACACAATGAGGCCCGAATGTTTGTAAAATTGAAACTTGACTATATTTAAATTGAAAATTAGAACTTAATTTTAGTATAATTGTAACAAAGTAACTTTAAGTGTATGGCCCTTGGACACTTGCGAAATAATGATGCAAAATCAATTAAATCTTCGATATTTGAATTAAACAGGTTGGGAAAGAAGTAAACTGATTTTTCATAAAAAAATTACCACTCTATCGCGTTTGAATTAGGTCAACATGAAAATTTCAGAAATACTTACGACCGAGAAACTTCTAAGAATTTTAAACAATGAAAATATTTGCTTTTATTAGACATGCAATAATGAAATTGCGTACAAAGTTTAGTATTATATAGTCCAGTCCGCCTTCCAGCCGTCTGGAGGTTAAATCAACTTCTAACTATAGATAGATTTCATTATGTTGCTGCCGAAAAGAAGTCGCTGCCGAAAGATACAGATTAAATTTTAACTATTTTTAGACCGACAATATTCCTTAAAGTATAGTTCCCTTGCAATTTGGGGTTTCATTTTAATATGGGCGTTTATCGAAAGTTAAAATATTTTAACAATGTTGTGATTCTTTTTAACATATACTGCCTGAAGATCCTTCGAAAACTGATGAATATTATCTACACTGATTTTTTTTACGTGGATCTAATTATAAATATATTTTTAATACATTGAAAGACTGTAAGAGATATAAATAATCGATTAATATCGTGTGAAGAGTATACCATGATTACTGGATTACCAAGGACACTTAAGTATTCATAGCGAGTTCTTACTGTTTAAATAATTCATATCTCTACTTCATAGTTGATTGCATTTTATTGTTACCGATTTTAAAGACAACGTTATAAATGTGTGTACCTATACTGTAGTAACAGAGACAAATACCTGTTGCAAAATAACAGCCTGTTACTTAATACTATGTTGTGACAATGTGTCTAACAGTTACCATAGTAACAGCTGTTACAGAATTTTAGTCTATGCTGACGTCCGTACTTCTCTTTGTAACAAAGCTATAAGACCCATGCAAGAAAAAGAAAGAGCTTGTAAGAGCGACATTATTCAGTAACAAATGTGACAAGGTGTCACAGTTTTTATCTCTTTCTAACTAAGGTAACAGTTGTATTCATGAATAAAGAAAAGCTTGTGACAACGTGATCAGGAACAACTTTTGTGGAACAGGAACTGTTATTTAAGTTTGTTCGTAACAGGTACAGTCTGTTATCTCGATATAGCTGTTATGATAAATACGCCTTACTTCTAGTACATGAAAGTTTTGCGGCCTACTTGGTAACAATGTAGTGGGGTAACTCATCCGCAGGACACAGAGGTCGCGCGGGGCACGGGTCGCCGCGGGCGGCGCAAGGGCGCTGCATCGTGCCCTTGCGGGCCAGACGGTGGATGCACTGTCGCCCCCTCTTCCCCCTCCCTCGCTCCACCGCACATCACCTGTGCAAACACCGTGCTGCTGCATTTTAATGACGAACGCAATTAATAGCCGGCTATCGGAGAAATAAAGGCCGGCGGGAAGAACGTGGTGGGAGTCGATACCCTTGCCGAAGATTCCTTCACGATTACAGGCCAGCAATTCGCGGCCATAATCCACGTTTTTTTTTAAATACGCCCATGCAGACATTATCAAAGTCAAAGTCAAAATTCCTCCTCGAATGTATCGTCTTTCATTTATTCGTTTATCATATCATGATTCGTTGGCGTTGATGCTAAGTGGTTGCAAGTCAGGGGTCGTAGGTTCGATTCCCAAACGGAACAATTATTTATGTGACCTACCTACTTGTTCCGGATCTGGTTGTCTGTTTCCCAAGGAGGGCTGACGTCAGGCAGGCGGCCGGTTTTAAAAACAGCGAAAAACAGCTTAAAACATGATTCACATGTTGTGACCACCCCACTTAGGTGGGACAAGGGCAGGAGGATGGTGATGATTCTAATCTGCCAGACGCAAAATGTCAATAAAAAACATTACTTTGCCTGCATGGATGGCGCCGAGATTAAAGCGGTCACATAGAGTACTGCAGTTTCTCGTCGACCACTTTTACCTGACACTTATTTATCACCAAAAGGTAGCAATATTATCTATACATGTAATAAAAAGGTGATCACATGAAAACATGATGTTTGTCTGTACATGGGAGATAATATACAAAAATATTAATGGAGACTTTATCAACGCAATAAAACCCAAATCAATCAGAACTAACAAAGAACAATCGAATCAAACTAATATAAGAAACGGCAACTTTCACTAATGCATTGTAGTATAATTCACTTAAGATTTAGTGTTACCTTTATTTAAATCGGTTCATAAATAAAAAAGTTATATTAAATTAAAGAACCAAATTGAATATTTGTGCGATAAAATGCTATATAATAGCAGCAGTTGAATTGGAAGAAACTAAATATAATAAGAAACTATAGGTTGCGGTCCGTATAATTATGGTGATTGTAAGTTTATATAAAGTTTTTTTTAAACACCGGAAGGCTTACAAATGCGTTGCTGGCCTTTTAAGAAAGAGTATGTTCTCTTCTTGAAGTCAGTTTGCATCTCCAGTTGATAAGATTTCAATGTAACTTATCAACCTCTAATCGACAAAGAAATCACTGCGTCAATGAACGCACAGCATTTATGAATAACTTTACCTGAATTACGGGTTCTTCTCAAGACAAAAATTAATAAATTTAAATTAAAAAGAACCTTTGTACCGTTCAAAGGTATAATTAACAGTGTATTTACACAAAAATGCATTAAGTAATAAATACAAGAATATATTAAGCATGTTCTTACCCGAGAACGTAAGAATGAAACTAAGCTGTGCAATATTGACTGAATTGTACAATATTGAAAGAATATGTCCATCCCGTTAATATGGAAGCTGGTAAGTGCTCGTACGGTTGGGAATTTAAACCAAAAACTTCCATAATACCCGCATATTTTTTTTTAATCAAACAAAATGTGTGTTAACCTTAAAGGAGAATAAGGTGACACCTATCTCTGTCCACCGGTGAAGCTCTCACCGAAAATACAAAAATGGAAATTACTGCGTTAAAGCCACGCACCAATTGCCATGGCCAAACAGAAAACCGATATAATAGAAGTGTTGATGTGCTTGGAGAGCCAGTAGATAGTACCCAAACTGCAACAAAGCAGACTTTTTGGATACCAAGTTAACATCAGTTGGACCGACAAATTTGTGAATATGGAAATTTATTATGTATAGCATAATAAATTTCCATGTTCTATATGCTTACAAACATAACTTTCGTGTTACGTTTTAATGTATACTTTTTTACTGTATTAAAAACATGAACGTTTTTTTACACTTTAATATGTATCGTTTATAGCAACAAATAATATACTCCGTTTTTGTCCACCGCGAGAACTCCAATTACACATGTAGACGTCCTGGAAATTAACTATTTACAATTGAGTTCATTCTTATTACAGGAAAATCGTGATAACAGAGGATAATAAAGACATTCGAATATGATTACTGGCACAATTCAGCTGCTATTTCAGTTTATAGCTGCATGCAGTATAAAACACGTTGCATATCGTAAACGGATCACGTCCGACAATTTGGTGTCAACGCCTCCTTGAACCTCCGTTTCTCAAATTTAATTCACGATAAGCAGCAACACTTTTGTATGCGCCCGCGCACAATGCCTATTCAGATATATTGAGGAGCGTTGAATCGGCAATCGACCATCCGCCCGGTCACTCACCCTTCATTATATATTCATCACAAGGATATGTTTCAAACAGGACAAAGCATCTTCAAAAATTTGGCTTATTATCATAACAACGGCAGCGTATATATTTATTTTGCTGACTCCCCTCGCCAACTGCCTACTTTGAGGTGTAATAGTGTATAATGAGCAAAGTCGTAACGAATGTTTTAAATAATCTTATTTTTTTTAAATTACACATGTTTTTTTACACCATTTATGGCTTATGTTAAGATTAGATCTAAGGTAGGTTTAAATAAATCCTTGAAATAACAAGAAAAATTAATGGTTTTGAGATTCATCATCGAATCCAAACCAGCAACAACTCAGCCAACAGTGCCTTTTTTGTTTTTAATATACGTTTTGAACGCCATTCATCCCTCTTTGCCGTAAGTAGATTTCCTCTGTTATAGTGAAAAAATATGTGCAAAATGGCAAATATTAAAATATCATTACTGTTATAATTCGAGTGACCCCTCATGCGCAAAATTTAAAAATTGGTTTTTTTATGCTATTATTATGTTAAATACGATCACAAATCACTTGTCTCACTACCTTCTGCTTGGCGAAAAACTTCACTGATCTATTTGCCGGATGTAAGGTGTACACCTTGCGAATATTAGTTATATTATATTATACGAAAAAGTTTTGTACGCCGAAGTAGTAAATAAATTCGTGACTAAGATATGAACAAAAAGATTCAACAAACAAATGTTCTAGCATATTAAAAGGGATAAGGCGGCATGGAAATAAAATACTCGTTAAAATAAAAAGTTATTTCGTGACATAAAAATGATCAGTTTTTTTCTTTTAATTTATTTTCAAAACGAAAACATAAAAGTTTGTAATTCTTTATATATATATATATATATATATATATATATATATATATATATATATATATATATATATTATATATATAAAAATGAATAAAAAATTAAATAGAAATAATTAAAAATATTAGGAGAAAAAAAATATTATTCAGGAGCGAGATCTTTTACAATGGCCAAAATCGCTCGATATTTCTTCAAGATTGCATCTATTAAATCTTTGGTATTTGCTATTAATTTCTTTACTAAGTCCATATCTATTTTTAAATTAGATACGCTTAGGTCATTGAATGCATCAATCTCCTTTTCGGTCATTTCTGCGACTTCTTCTTGTATGGGTTGTATGTTGGAAACTAACAGACTATCCAGGTTAAGTTTGTCTAACTTCTCATCTACTTCTTGGAAAATGTTCAGTAGTTCGGTTTCAGTAATATTATATATCTGCATAAATTTTATGTTTATAAGTGAATCTAAGAAGTTTTCTTTTTCATTTTCATCAACTTGTTGTCTATTTTCAATTGACTGACGTTTTATATTATTGTCTGGAAATTAAAAAATTTGAAGACATAAGTACAGCAAAGACAAGTGGTCGAAAACCACTGCTGATAAACCTGCTTATTAAAACGACATGACGTCATCGATATCGATCTTCTTCTTTTGCCCTTTTCTAGTAACATCCCGATATTCGGGGCCCGCTCGTTCTCTTCCTTCCACCATCAAGCTTAGGTATATAAAGACCAAAAGAGGATAGGAGCCTGATCATTTCCGAATTGTATGTTATATTTGTATTATACATTTTTAATTGCCATGATTTTTTTTTTATTGAGAATGCAAAAGTGTATTCTATGAAAACAAGTTTGGCAGCTGCTTTTCATAATAATTTATTGAGGACCTCATTTCTTGATTACTTTTGAATTTTATTTTTTATGAAAATTACTGATTTCCACAGATGATCCTCCTCATTCGTTCAACATAAAACTGCAGTATTTACCACAGTTAGTATTTTTTAAAATTGATGCCTGTTATACAGCGTGTCGTTACCATCGCGACAATAAATGAACACACGTCTAACGCTACTTGCCAATAATCATAAAAAAAATATTAACGTTAAACAAAATCCATATTTAAAAAAAAATATTTTTCAAACAAACTAATTAAGTAAAAAAGAGACAAAATTTGTAACATACTATACAACTCGCGCCACAGCGTCGTATTTCAAGCCTCTCCTTCTAACAGTATGTTTTGTCTCTTTTAAATTCATTCAACCCATTCATATGCTTTGTGACCTTTTATAGGTAAGGGTGTTCTAAAATTGTTTGTTTTGAAAAATTTAATAACTCTGTAAATATTGATGTTTAAAGAATTTAAATGTTTAATACAAATTTAAAAAATTAGCCCCTATATGTGTGTTCATTTATTGTCGCGATGGTAACGACACGCTGTATAGCTCATAATATGTGGAAAAGTCCGTTCCGGAGAAATACTAAAAACTTTTGAAAAACTGACGTGCAGTAGAACTATTCCTCTTTACCCATCATTAAAACTGGTGGAATCCACTTGACATTAGGAGAACAACATCTCTTTAACCATTTTCTATCCTAAAAGAAAAGATTGAACATCTCTCGCCTGCAAAATTATTTTTCAGTCATAGAACAACTACAACTATAGTCCGCATAGCATATTATAATTTTGCAAAAGTACTACTCTAAAGAATTGTATATTTTCTGATGCATTCCACGCCCACTAAATGTACATTTTACTTACCATGTACTAAAATTGTCTTAAAATACTTTATCTTATATTCTTTTTAAATACTTACTGTTGCATGTTTTACAATATCTTGTAAAAACGTCAACGACATTCTCAAGTCTCAAGAGCAAGGAATCTATCTCAATATTAAGTTCTCTTAGCACCACAATCCAAACGTCAGGGTTAAATTCTCTTAAATCTTTCAAAAAATGGTGATATTGATCTTGTAAATTTAAAATATCATACATGGTACGACCGAATTCCTTCAGCGCTCTATCCTTTAGGTCCATTATCCTATTTTGTACTTTTTCTTCGT